TATTATTTGCACTAGTGAAATATAAGAGAGATGCCATAAACCATCTCGGAACTTTGGAGCTTTTTCTAGCACGCCGCGTCGCGCTGGCTTCTTCCTAGCCAACTTATGCATGCACAGGCGTGTTAGGCGACCACGGCTTACTACTATTACTTGGATAAGTAATGCACGAAATTCAATTCAATTCTGCATCGATTGTGAACAGATTTTAATGATTCTTTTTTTAATGAATAGACTGTAAATGAAGGGTGGTTTCATTTAAATTTGGCAGAAAATGTTCCACCCTTCAGGATTGAAAATTAGGATGTGATTCCTGTTTGTAACTCTTTAGATTCAATTTGTACATACAAACTCAAAATAGAATGGCACTAAGCCGAAATGCCCTCTTTATGCTCATATTTTGGTTGATTTTAACTCACAGCCGAAAAGAAAAATTTGTTCATAGCATTAAAAATTTTGGGTTTTCTAAATGAATATTTCATCCCCTTTTGATTCCTTTACGTTTGATTTTTCAAAAACGCTGAAATAATTTGTAACCAACAACCTATGATTATGTTTTTAACTATGAAAGTAAAAGAATTCCCATGTAAATTTTCAAACCTCATTTCCACCCTGTAAAGAGTTAATTTTCAAAAACAACAAAGCACTAAACACTTCTTCATTTATATCTAATGAAGCCTAAATGTGAATTTTGACTTTTCTAATAACATTAATACCTTCGAGTTGATATAAACTCTTTTATATCCTTTCTACCCCCATTAGGAAATGAATTACCAAAAATCCGTCTTATGTAGACGTTGATTTTACAAAAGTCACTTAGGTACTGTCGAAATTTCGTATTTCAGGATCTAATAATTTCAATTTTGTTTTAATGACTCAAGAACAGTTAAACTTAAAGTTTGAACCTCATTACACCCTCTTGGAACATCGAAAACTTTTTCATTCGAAAATTATATTGTTTTTTATCCCTGTAGCTGTTGAATTTTCAAAATTCTTTAGGTGCCAACCGGCATACGCCACTACTGTGTAAAATTTCACTCGCTTAAATGCAACAATTTAAACTAAATGTTAAGAAGTCAGTTAGTCAAATTCTTTGAAACAATTTTTTAGTCATTTTCGTTCCTTTGACTTAATAGTAGCTAGTACCTACCAAATAGTCATAGATTTTTGTATTGTTACTCATATTTGTGGCTGCAAGGTTTAAGTCTATCTTCTATTAAGCTATCAAACTTACCTTTCGTTTTCTCAGTNTAATCGAACAATGTGGCATCAATGGCCGGCCAGCAACCTTTCTATCTATTTTTTTAACTACAAACTTTCAAACCCTACTTCCATTCTCTAAGGAGTTAATTTTCCAAAATGACAAAGCACTAAACACTTCTTCATTTATATCTAATAAAGCCTCAATATGAATTGTCTTCTCAAATAACATCAGTACCTTCAAATTGACATAAACTCTTTTATACCCTTTCTACACCCTTCTATTTCCTGTAGACGCTCATTTTACAAAAGTCACTTAGGTACTGTCGAAATTTCATATTTCAAGATCTAATAATTTCGACTCAATTTTGGTGCTTCAAGAACAATTAAACTGAAGCTTTGAACGCCATTACGCCCTCTTATTTTTCCATTCAAACATTCAATCATTTTTCATCCCTTTTAATTTTTTCTTTAGGTGTCTACCGGAATATGGCACTACTGTGTAAAATTTCAGTCGCTTAAATGCAACAGTCAGTAAATCAGTCAATATTTTTGAAACAATTTTTTGGTCGTTTTGATTCCATTACTGCGTTTGTCTTTGCTTAATCGTGCCTAGTACCTACCAAATAGGCACAGGTTTTTGTATTGTTACTCATATTTGTGGTTACGAGGTTTAAGTGTATCTTTTTATCGAACTTACCGTTTATTCTCTCAGTCGATTGTCCCTGAAAAGTGAGGTTACTGCTCGTCATCTTGGAACACTTGAGTTCATGTGAATTAGTTCGTATAGATATGCACAAACGCAAATAGGAATATGAACATCTCAAAAGTGTACTTTATCACAATTGAAAATCACAGTTTAGTTTATTATTTGCACTAGTGAAATATAAGAGAGATGCCATAAACCATCTCGGAACTTTGGAGCTTTTTCTAGCACGCCGCGTCGCGCTGGCTTCTTCCTAGCCAACTTATGCATGCACAGGCGTGTTAGGCGACCACGGCTTACTACTATTACTTGGATAAGTAATGCACGAAATTCAATTCAATTCTGCATCGATTGTGAACAGATTTTAATGATTCTTTTTTTAATGAATAGACTGTAAATGAAGGGTGGTTTCATTTAAATTTGGCAGAAAATGTTCCACCCTTCAGGATTGAAAATTAGGATGTGATTCCTGTTTGTAACTCTTTAGATTCAATTTGTACATACAAACTCAAAATAGAATGGCACTAAGCCGAAATGCCCTCTTTATGCTCATATTTTGGTTGATTTTAACCCACAGCCGAAAAGAAAGATTTGTTCATAGCATTAAAAATTTTGGGTTTTCTAAATGAATATTTCATCCCCTTTTGATTCCTTTACGTTTGATTTTTCAAAAACGCTGAAATAATTTGTAACCAACAACCTATGATTATGTTTTTAACTATGAAAGTAAAAGAATTCCCATGTAAATTTTCAAACCTCATTTCCACCCTGTAAAGAGTTAATTTTCAAAAACAACAAAGCACTAAACACTTCTTCATTTATATCTAATGAAGCCTAAATGTGAATTTTGACTTTTCTAATAACATTAATACCTTCGAGTTGATATAAACTCTTTTATATCCTTTCTACCCCCATTAGGAAATGAATTACCAAAAATCCGTCTTATGTAGACGTTGATTTTACAAAAGTCACTTAGGTACTGTCGAAATTTCGTATTTCAGGATCTAATAATTTCAATTTTGTTTTAATGACTCAAGAACAGTTAAACTTAAAGTTTGAACCTCATTACACCCTCTTGGAACATCGAAAACTTTTTCATTCGAAAATTATATTGTTTTTTATCCCTGTAGCTGTTGAATTTTCAAAATTCTTTAGGTGCCAACCGGCATACGCCACTACTGTGTAAAATTTCACTCGCTTAAATGCAACAATTTAAACTAAATGTTAAGAAGTCAGTTAGTCAAATTCTTTGAAACAATTTTTTAGTCATTTTCGTTCCTTTGACTTAATAGTAGCTAGTACCTACCAAATAGTCATAGATTTTTGTATTGTTACTCATATTTGTGGCTGCAAGGTTTAAGTCTATCTTCTATTAAGCTATCAAACTTACCTTTCGTTTTCTCAGTCAGTTGTCCGTGAAAAGTGAGGTTACTGCTCGTCATCTAGGAACACTTGAGTTCATGTGAATTAGTTCGTATGCACAAACGCAAATAGGAATATGAACATCTCAAAAGTGTACTTTATCACAATTGAAAATCACAGTTTAGTTTATTATTTGCACTAGTGAAATATACGAGTTTGGAGCTTTTTCTCGCACGCCGCGTCGCGTTGGCTTCTTCCTAACCAACTTATGCATGCACAGGCGTGTTAGACGACCACGGCTTACTACTATTACTTGGATAAGTAATGCACGAAATTCAATTCAATTCTACATAGAGTGTGTACAGATTTTAATGATTCTTTTTTCATTGGATAGGCTGTATCTGAAGGGTGGTTTCAGTTAAATTTAAAAGAAAATGTTCTACACTTCAGAATAGAAAATTAGGATGTGATTCCTGTTTGTAAACTTTTAGTTTCAATTTGAACATACAAATTCAAAAAAAAAATGGTACTTAGCCGAAATGTCCTCTTTATACTCATATTTTGGTTGATTTTAACTCACAGCCGAAAAGAAAAATTTGTTCATAGCATTAAAAATGTTGGATTTTCTAAATGAATATTTCACTCCCTTTTGATTCCTTTGGGTTTGGTTTTTCAAAAACGCTGAAATAATTTGTAACCAACAACCAATGATTATGTTTTTAACTATAAAACTAAAAGAATTCCCATGTAAATTTTCAAACCTCATTTCCACCCTGTAGAGTTAATTTTCAAAAACAACAAAACACTAAACACTTCTTCATTTATATCTAATGAAGCCTAAATGTGAATTTTGACTTTTCTAATACCATCAATACCTTCAAGTTCATATAAACTCTTTTATATCCTTTCTACCCCCATTAGGAAATGAATTACCAAAAATCTATTTAATGTAGACGTTCATTTTAGAAAAGTTACTTAGGTACTGTCGAAATTTTATATTTCAAGATCTAATAATTTCGATTCAGTTTTGGTGCTTCAAGAACAGTTAAACTGAAACTTTTGAACTTCATTACACCCTCATAAAACATCTAATACATTTCCATTCAAACATTAAATTGTTTTTCATCCCTGTAGTTGAATTTTAAAAAACTCTTGTTTAGGTGTCTACCGGCATACTGCATTACTGTGTAAAATTGCAATTGCTTAAATGCAACAATTTGGACTACATGCTAAAAAGTCAGCCAGTCAATTTCTTTGAAACAATTTTGTTGGTCATTTTTATTCCTTCGCTACGTTTGTCTTTGCTTAATCGTGCCAACGAAATAGTCATACATACGTTTATGTATTATTACTCATATTTGCGGCTGCGAGGTTTAACTCTATCTTCTATGAAACTATCGAACTTACCGTTCTCAGTGATTTGTTCGTGGTAAGTGAGATTACTGCTCATCTTGAAACACTTGTGTTCGTGTGTGAATCGGTTCGCGTAGATATGAACAAACGCAAATACGCATGTAGACACTTTAAAAATGTTTTTTATCACAATTTAAAATCACCGTTTAGTTTATTGTTTACACTAGTGAAATATATGAAAGATGCCTTAAAGCGTCTCAGAGCTTTTCTCTCACACGTCGCTTCGTGTCATGCATGCACGTCGCACAGGCGTGATGGACGACCACGGCTTACTGCAACTATTGCTTGAAGGTAGGTAATGCGGGAAATTTAATTCAAACGGTTTTAGCGGTAAAATTTATTTAATAAGTAATCGTGATGTAAATATAAAAACAATGACAACGAATTGTTAGCTATACGATTAACATCCAGGTCTCATGTACTTAATAAATTAAAGCATCAATAATCTATTAAATTTTTAACTGCTTCCAAACATCTCCATTTGGTTGGTAAATAAAATGGTTCAAAAATATGCGGAAAAGGCGTATCAAAACCTGTTATTCTTGCAACAGGTGCTTGAAGATGAAGGAAACACTCCTCCTAAAAATATTTATTAGTGCTAATTAATTAGTTATATTTATTTGATATATGCCTACATCACTACATAGTATAAAACAAAGTCGTTTTTCCGCTGTCTGTCCCTATGTATGATTAAATCTTTAAAACTACGCAACGGATTTTGATGGGGTTTTTTTTAAAAGATACAGTGATTCAAGAGGAAGGTTTATATGTATAATACATGCATAATATAGTAGGGAAACGCTGATAATTTTTGAGGTTTCTAATGTGATGTCGTAAATAAACACATTTTTTGCGCTTACATTGCAAACGCTGGCTGAACCTTACGAGATAGATCAAAATAATGTACTACAATATTGTACATCTTAAAAGGGTCTACAAAAAAGTC